GATTTGGAGTGGTCCAATAGAAGGCCATGTTTGTTCTTTTTTTTTCAACGAAAGACACGTGAGAATGTGACAAAAAGGCTTCATGCTACTGCAAACATAATTTATCTTTGCCGACCTTTCAAATTACCCGTTTATAAAAATTTTGAAGATATTCACTGACAATTGAAACCATCAAATACCACTTCGAACAAGGAAAGTATTGTTTCAAACCTGGATACTTTCGAAGCATATATATAATAAAATTGTATTAATGGAGCTTTGTAAGTCATCATATGGAATATTAAATACTTTTATCACTGTCTACCACATACAGTAATTGAAAAACATGCCAACATGATTAGCTACTACGCATGTTCTCGTTATCGAACATTTCCATATTTATTGTTGATTTTTTTAATGGTATAGCGAATATTTTTCATTACAGAGGTTATCTCGTGTATACGATATCCTTTTTTTCAATATCGCACATGCCGAAGATTTTGTCTTGAATCAAATCCCGAAATGTTTGAAAACGTTTCGAAAATCGCACCTTATACAAGAGGATTTAATTTTTAAAATTCATCATTTTCTTATTTTCAAATGCAGACGTTTTGCGTAGTCGTGATCAGCGCTGCGTCGTATTGGATCCATCTGGTGCACACCAAAAATGAGCAGAAAACGCTGCTCATTGCCAAACAAGCCCGAGACTTTTACTCCATATCAACAGGAGGTCAGTATCAAGCCCTTGAATGATTCAAGACAATAACAGACATATGATTCGAGATGGAGCCAACTCAAAACCAGGCCAACTTTGAGGCAGGCACTACTTGAAACTGAAACTTTTTGAGACAGAGACAATTTGAGACAGACGCATTTCAAGAGAGAGGCTATTTGGAGACAGAAGCATTTGCAAAATGACCTCACTGTACAGTATTTCTCTGTCATGTCTTATATTGAAGGAGGAAAAATAAGCAAAAATGGCATGGTTTTGTCAAAAGTTAGGCTAATTTTAATCCCCACTTCAGACTTGATTGGTTATATCCTTTCATTGATCTTGTTAGGAATCGGAAAAAGTAACTGAGACATTGACAAAATGGAAATATATTAACTCAAAGAAGGACAAATCAATAGACTGTCAAGAAAAGTCTAATGGGTGAGGAATTTCATGAGACTGAGTTTGACCTTGAGTTCCCACGACGGGTTCCCTATATATATCTTTGGGGATTTCCTGGGATAAATCAGTCCACAGGGACAAAACTTTGCCACAAGAAGGTTTTTAAATACGGAATTTTCCTCTGTTAAATCATCTGTTGCTGTTTGGCATCAGTCTCATGCAAAAGATGTCAAAACTCATGCTGAATTTGATTTGGTTTGAAATCCTTGTTCTTTTGTTGAATAAAAAAACCATACACTAGGGTGTCAAGCAACCTGGCTGTAGCCTGGCTGATTATAATTTTCTTTATTCAAGCAGTGCTTCAATCTTTCAATAAAAAAAAATTCTCAATAGATCTTAGGGATAAAAATTGCATGCAAATCATCAGGAGATTTTCTTCTGGACCAGTCCCTCTTCCCCCTTACCACATCACCGCATTAAATGAGAAAGGTCTTGACAAAGAATGAAAGAATAATCAAAATTGAATTAAAATGAAGGTAAAAATGAATGTGGAGGTCTTGTATTTTCCATTTAATTAACCGGTACAGAGTTTAGGCGGGAGGGAGCTTAACCGGGACAGAGTTTAACGGGCGCAGTTGAACAAACGGGGACTTTATAAACGATCTTTTAATATTGAAGACAGCTTTTTTTACATTATGTCTAATAATTATCTCTTGCAATTTCCCTTGACTCTTTTTTTTCAGTGTGGAACGCCGGTCTGATTTCCACAATCACGTCCTCGTTCATAAACCTGATCGTTTCCGTGTTGCTGGCATATGGTGCATATTACGTGAGCTTCTGCCTTATGTTTTCTGAGAAACCATTTGCTTGACAAGCAATTATTGCGGGTTTTGCAGGACAGGAACAAGTTATTGATCCCGTGGCTCGCGAAAAACATGTTCCTGTTGGTGGTTGGAGCCGGGTTCGGGTTCTACAACATTTACTGGGTTGTTAGTTCTGCCAATACTGAGGACGAGGCCTCGTTTTGGGGCAGCCTTTGTGGGCTCTACTGGGTCATTCTTGGTAAGATAATACCGAAAGTGGATTACAATTTAATTCATGCAACTCATTCCGACAGTTCGAAATTTAAATGTGCTCTATAATACTGTATAATACCAGTAAGAACCCCAATGTAATGTGGATCACGGTAGGTTTACTGTAATCCCTTTTTTTCCTGAATTAGTTAATTCGTAAACACCACAGAACCTTTTTTTCACAAATGACGCAGCTAAATCAGTGGAAAACTAAAATGAATTAACATCGTTCAATTTTTATTTGTTTTTAAGAAGAATATTTCTACCATTTCTCGCATTTCTTCCACTGGTATATTTTTTGAAGCGTTCTTCATGAAAGTATGGCAAAAAAGCCCTGAAATTATTTCAAATTTTGAAAGGAGCTAGAAAACTTCATCAATCACTGCTAGTAGAATGTTTAATTTCGTTGCTGCCTTTAGGAGCTTTTTGTGCTTGTACATTATTTTACATGGATTTTGACATTCATAAAGTTTTCTATGACGATTCATTTTGGAACCTTCAATTCGAAAATTTTGCATCAAAAAACACAATTTTACCGGGACTTTTTTTCCTGGGAGCGTTGAAATTATATTCTGTTACAACCAAGAATCTCATGAAAATCAACTTTTTGTTTTGCGAAGATATTTTTATTGGTAACGCAGTTTCTTTATAGGGACAATATCCTTTGAAAATTCAAGTAGATTGGACTAATTTTCTTCCATGATCTCAGTATATCGAATTTTTGCCGTGTTGTTTTTGTGTGAAAGGGTTGAAGACATTTTTAATATTTGACGCAATATTGGATAAAGCAATAACTTCTGCATAATTGAAAAACCTTCCAAAAATACGAATGCTAATCTTTTTCACAGAAAATGTTGCATTGCAGATACTATGAAGCTACAATCAACATTTATCCAGCTTTATTTTCGAATTTTAAAATGGCTAATTTTCTGAAAGAAAAGAATATATTTTAACAAATACTGCTCTATATTTCAGGGAACATTCATCAGTTCTCATCTCAATAAACAAATTATCTTGTTACACATGTATTTTTTGCTTGCTTCAGCTTATAATCTTGTAAGATCAGTCTAATTTCGGAAACTGCAAGAAACGGCTGGAGGTCTAAAAGAATAATATTTTACATTTTCAATGTTCTTCATTATTTCATGATAAGAAATTTCTTAATGCATACAATTCCACTAAAGTCTGTCGCGGAAATACTCTGAATCGGTTATTGCATGCCTCAGACATTTAGTTTTAGTCCAAAGAATCATGTATCTTATTGTTGTAGCGAATTTTTCCTCAGGTTCCTTCTTTTATTGGGAGTTCGTTGAACCATAATTTTAATGTAATGTATTCAGATTGCTAGAATTGCATTAGATTGAATTCAAATTGATTGAAGTTCGTAATCGTGATCAATCTCGATTCTTTCTACTGTATATAGCCATGATTGCATACTGCTGGACCTCAACATTCTCCCAATACATCACCAGCAAGCGGATCACAGAGAAACTCAGACCGCTGATGAAACAAGGCGAGAAGATGATCAGGAATCCCAGGGCTTTCAAGCTCTCTGTACAGCCGTACAGGTCCGAGTCTCAGCAAGCTTTACCAGTGGCGTCCATCACCTGAAATTACATCCAATTTATTTTATCTTTTTGTGTGTGCTGAAAGCACTCCTGCGTGTCCATTCGAGGGATTTCTGCAGAAGGAAAATGAAAAGAAAGACCGGCGAAAAGAGTTTCGAATTTGTGTCCTGAACACCTGAATGATCCTGACGATGAAGTTTTAAACGGACATTTATCTGCTTTCTGAGCGTTGAAGCGCCTTTACTTTCCGAAAAATTTGTATTTCTGGATATTTTGAATGTGCGAATATTTCTTTTTGCTGGTCATGTGTCGAAATTTTGATGGTCAATATCCTGTGTATGAGTGATGATTCATAGGAGTTGTGTTGGAAATTGGAAACGAGTTTTTAAAAAAAGTGAGTGATCGTCGTTTCTTTCATTTTTCGGTACATTTATTTGCTGGCTGTGAAAAACAAAAATTTTCCTATGCTTTCTTGATCACCTTCCAATTCCACATACTTCACATATCTATATTCGAATTCTCAACATTCATAAAATACTGCATTTGTGAATGATGGAGCATGATGATGAATGGATTAATGACATCCCAGCTCCTTAATGACGTTTTTGAGCTTCATGGCAGGTTCCGATGCTTCGCCAAATGCGATGATGAATTGTTTCAGGGCAAATTCTGCCCAGGTCAAGGCTTCGTCGTATTTGAAGTTTTCCAGAGCTATTTGAAGGGCTTGTTCTGCAAGAGGGCCTTTTGCAACCACGAATCCTTCTTCGTCCAATACTTGCATCACAGCCTGTGGGAATATAAACTACTGTATATCAAAGATTTTGCTTGAAAAAACAGTATTGAGGCGAAAAAAGATAAAAATTTGAAAATTATTACCATTTTTCAAATACCAAACATGGTTGATAAACCACTGCATTGGAAAGTCGTAAATTGTTCTCTGCTGAAAGCATTGCCAAAAATAAATTTGGCAAAGATCAGAAAAGCCTTTTTCAAGGCTTGCATCAGCAGAGGAAGTTTTAATGACTTCCTGATGGCTTTTGCGATTTTAGCCAATTCATTGTTTGCCAGGGAGGAAATCCCTGATTTCTCTCTGATTCTAATAAATGGTCTATTTTTTAAAAACTCCTTATTCTTCCTTGGAATTTAAAATGAATGAAACACCCTGAGTGAGCAACCATATGAACTTTCGAATGGAAAACCTAAAAGCTATATTAACTAAACTACTGTAGATTTACTTGAGTTAATTAACCTATTAAAATAATTTTAAAACTTTCAAATCATTATTGAGAAATAACATGACAAATAAAAGCACTATAAGCATGAAATTCGCAACATCACACATTCACCAACTTGGGACCTTTTTTATCAATTGAAAATAATTAATAATTCACAGTTTACTCTGGAAAACGTAAAAAAAAACTGTACCTAGGATTCGGCAGCATGTGTATTACCTTGAAATTGGACAACCCTGGTATTGTGTGGGTATCTGGGTATACGTGCATGTGTGGATGATCAGCCTGTCGCCATCTTGTTTTACATGCAAAAACTCTTTTTGAAGGTTTAATTTTGGAATATGTATGAAAATCTTCATTCAATATGATCATGAAGAAATGCTGTACTGTACAGAAAGATCTGAAGGAAACCATTATTCAAAAACTGTAAACTTCACAGTTAATATGGCAATGTTTCCGATTACTGTACAGTGTACAGTAATCAGAAATATTGCCATATTACTCTTGTATAACAAAAAGATAGCGGCGTACAATTCTGAAGTAGATTTAATTTTGCCTGCTATTGTGCATCAGATTCTGCAATATTTTCACGTTTTTAATACATAACGATTATTCTCGGATTTTTGAAAATATTGATGATGAGATCTCCGACCTTTCTTCATTTATGTATAGGCCCTCCTGCTTCCATAAAATTTTTCATCAAGTCCAACTCGAGCCTTTTGCTCAAAAAATTATAAATACAATTGAAGGACGCATGAATGATTGTTTTCCGTCGTCCTGGAATAAATTGTTGCTCAAACTCGGCATGTGATCAAAGTGCGCACGCGAAGAGGGAGCGAAGACAGGCCTGTACGATGTTGAGAACACTGACACCTGACGGCATACCTGGAAAGCAAAGAGTGCAGTTTCCGGTCGCATCCGTGGGATGTCGCGCAACAACCCGGCGATTTCTGCTCTACGCCTCTCCGAACCCGGATCCGAACTCTCACACGCGCAACATCGACAAGTGAATCCGAAGCGTTCGCCGATTTCATTTCGTCTCTCCGACGTTGTTTTCGCGAAGCAGGCGTTGTTTATGTAGCAGACGGTGATTTCATCACCCGGCAGTATTTGGGTTACAGCTCGGATTTCCTCGTTTCCGGTTTCCGGGTTGAACACGTGATTTCCTGAGGGTCGGCAGGAATGGTTCACCATGCAAGCATTCGGGAAGAAGCCGAAGTGCTCCGAGTTCTGGCCCAAAGGTAGACCGTATTCCTGAATGAAAAATAAATTCGAGCATGGATTGTATAAACAGAATAAAATAGGTATTTGTAAAGGATATGAGAATGATTCTGTAAAACAGACAAAAATTGTTCATCACTTACCTATCGTTCAATTTTTTACCTGTAGCATATGCATTTTGCAAACAACGCCTCAAAGTGATGCTAAAATTTTTCATTCATGTTGAAAAATGATATCTTTGCATATCACAAAATTTGGGATTGAACTGTATCCGACTTTTAAAATCCGAAATTTTCAAGTGAAGATCCACTTTTCTGAGTCTCGAATTGTAAATTAGTGAAGAAATCATGCCGTTCTTATCACGGAATTCATGAAAATACTGTATCACATTTTTCTAAGGTATCTTCAAAAATTTATATATTTTTCTCAGCAACCAAAAACTAGAGAAAATTATGCAGAGATCGATTCCCAAATATTGTCTCTCTAAATACAGTATTACAGTACCATATTCCGAGCTTAACTCAATCAGTAATTGAAAAGTGACAAAAAATAAATTCAAATATGCTTCTGTTCTTACAACTTGATTGCTTGACTATGATTCTTGGAATATCTTTTAGGTGTCTCATGATTCTAGGTGAAAAAATTGAGTACCCAGTGGTGATCCCCGTTTGACCCCGCCGCCAAAAAAGGGCCTTTTATTCCCAGGCTCCATTAAGAGGGCTGCAGATTTTGTCTCCTCTCAGTCCTGTTTCACTTCTTCTCCCGCCAAAACAGGATTTTACGTATACTGGGGACGTGAATTCTACCATCCACTCCCTTCAACAAGGCAAGGGTTTCCATACCCAAAATCCATGTGAATTGATGCACATTGGTACACAGGAATTACTGTATCATGAAAACTAAATTGTAAGGCATCATAATAACCCCATACTTCAAACCAGAGTGAGGAAGTCTTTTAGACCATACTAGATTTTTGGGTTGGAGAGTAAGAATTTTGGGCTCCATGATGAAATCCCATAGGAGAAAAAATCCCGCGGCCCAAAAATCCCGTGAGGCCAAAAAATCTCGCGGGGTCCAAAAATCCCGTTGCTACAGAAATCTCGTATATAGACTACAAATGCAAAGAAGTCACAAAAATACATGGAAGAAGTATGTTCCTTTTAAAGAAATGAATTCAGATTTCATTTTAAACATATTTTTTGAATTATTCTTCTTTAGCCTTAGACCAGAGATGGAAGCGGTGGAATCTAATTGCATCGCAATAAGCCACAATTCAGCAATGTTTTCATCCTCTGTAAGGCTGATTTTCACTCAAGGTTTGTGGAAAATTTTCAAGGTGAGATTACATGGATTTGAATTATTTCTTGGGTAACAATTCTAACCATGGATAGGGATCAAGGGGGTTGAATGTTTTCATCCTCTGTAAGGCTGATTTTCACTCAAGGTTTGTGGAAAATTTTCTAGGTGATATTACATGGATTTGAATTATTTCTTGGGTAACAATTCTAACCATGGATAGGGATCAAGGGGGTTGAATGGGTTATTCAGGAGACAGAGCACTTATTTCCCTCCATCACTGTCACAGCTGCTTTGGTTTCAATGACAAATTTTCAGCATTCAATCAGCTATCCTTCTACAGCAAACTTCACCAGGTACAAAAATCCAGCAGAAACAGAAATCCCAAGAACATTGATTATTGCATCAGGAAAACCCACTTTGCTATGCACAACATGCAATGAAGTTTACAATTGAGTTACAAAGTTAAATTAGGTTACAGCAAAAAAAGGACTGCTATTGTACAAAAAAATCACAGAAAAACCAGATTATCTGGAGTGAATAAATAAATTTGGCACTGAATACATTTTGAAGTTATAATTGACACAAGTTTTTCAATCAGTGGCAAGGGTGAACTATAATAATCATCAGGAAAGTACACAGCATGTGCAAAAAAATTTAACAGGAACAAAAATAAAAAAATTGCAGGTACAAAAATCCTGTGTCCTACCAAATTTTTTAAAGTTAGTCTGGGTTTTGCTTTGAACTGTTTCAAAATGCACAAGCATCAAACAGATTAAAAATTTTTGGAAGTGTGTTGGTTTCCATTCCAATGCTTTTGAAGCTTTGGGCATAGAAGGTTTAGGATTCAAAGGTTTAGAGCCTTAGAAAAATTTAGCCTTCATTTATAGCATTCATCCCTTTTTTTATTTGAGTACATGCTGTGTACTTTCCTGATGATTATTATATAGAATCTAACTGGCTAAAAATAAATAGTTGTGCCAGGTCCACTTCCTGNAATCTAGTATGGTCTAAAAGACTTCCTCACTCTGGTTTGAAGTATGGGGTTATTATGATGCCTTACAATTTAGTTTTCATGATACAGTAATTCCTGTGTACCAATGTGCATCAATTCACATGGATTTTGGGTAAGGAAACCCTTGCCTTGTTGAAGGGAGTGGATGGTAGAATTCACGTCCCCAGTATACGTAAAATCCTGTTTTGGTGGGAGAAGAAGTGAAACAGGGTTGAGACAAGAAAAAATCTGCAGCCCTCTTAATGGTGCCTGGGAATGAAAGGCCCTATTTTTCGGCGGCAGGGTCAAACGGGGATCACCACTGGAAGCTCAAGTTTGTCAACACAATGCCACTGGGCATACCCGCTTTAATCATGATTCTAATCCAACTGAAATTATGCTCTGAAATAATTTAATCATTCTAAAAGATAGCAGAAGTCAGAAAATTTGGACCTTCCCCATTAGTAGGTAGTAAGTAGCACATGAATTGTAAAATACATGCTTCCTTCTTTATATAGTGTCTAATTTTTTATGCATTTTATGGGCTTTTTCCCCAAGCTGGGGATTATTTTTCAAGCTCATGCTTTTCCAAAAGATAAATGACAGAAGAATGTGGGGGCAGTAAAGCTGTCAAAAGACATCAACAGGAAATCAATATTCTAACCCCCTCAGTTTTATGAGGACAAAAGCACCCAAAAAGTGGGGTTTGATGAAAACCTTTTACAGTCAACCCTTGGTTAATGTTCCGTTTGCTGAACATTTTTTTGCTTAACGTTCCTGGTCCTGTGAGAAAAATCCCTTGCTTAACCTTCCAAAATCCGCTTAACCTTCTGCAGTTGTGCAGCACCAGGTGATCAATGTGGATGTCTCCCTCCCTCCCTCCTGTACATTTTCTTGAATGTGACTTTTTCCACAGCTTTAAATGTGTTTCCTGTGTGGTGGTGTGGTGTTACAATTATTTTATGAACAATTGCAGCATCATACACTGAATTTAGGGAAACACTTACACCTTTCCTTGTTTGAAATGAATCTCTGATTTTAATTGAGTGAAGAACTGTGGTTACTTTTTGAATGTAATGGCAGTGCATAAAGCTCAGTTGTTGGAATACACTCTTTGATTAATTTTTTTCTGAATTTAACCTTTAGAAAATTTTGCCAATTAAACGTTTCTCCCTTATATCTTAAAGGGAGAGACTACCTTGCTTAATGTTTTTTTCAGCTAACATTTTTTCCTGCTGCACCAACTAAGAATGTTAAGCAAGGGTTGACTGTACAACTGAATGATACTGCCCTGAGGGCATTTTGATCCCAGCAGAGTAAAACTGGAAAATGCTGCCCCACAGTTTTTTGGCCCCATTTTGAAAAAAAACTCTCTTGAGATAGATATTTCTTAACTAACCATGATCTTAAAAATTGGCCTAGAATTTCCAAGCCAAAGTTACTCAAATTCCGATGGAAGTTTCCACTGTTGCTGACAGCAGATCCCCAAAAAAAGCAGCAGTGGGTTCAAACAACCAAAAAAGGCCCTGAAACATAAAATGCCAAACTCATTGTTTTCAGATCTGTTGACAAGAACATTTTTGTCAAATAATGCAGGAAATTTTTAAAGTCTATTCTGAATTCAACAAAATTCTGTACTCTTTATTTTTGTGAATACCTTATGTTGCATGAAAAACACATTTGCACTTATTCTTGTCAGGCTGTGCACCTGCCAATTGCCACATACTGATTCATTCCTAAAATCTCATCCTTTCTAGGATAATTCTGCTCTGTAAATAAGTAAAAACATTTCCCTGTAAATTAAATTATATCGGAGTCTTGTCTCTTGAGAGACAAAATTTGTACAGTACAGATATTACACTCAAAGCAACTATTTACAATCATATTATTTCAACTCAACAGAAGCCATTCTCGTAGTGTCCAACGAATTCAGATCTGAAATTTAAATTGCCTAAAATGTTCCAAGCTTGCATTCAACCCCATTTTCTGGAATTTCACCTGCAAAATTCCGAGTTCCACAGCCTCGTCGCTGTATTTGAATTCGCATCTGTCCCGAAGACAAAGGTAATTCTGTCTGTCTTCAGCACTGCTCAGATTATCGACACTGGATTTGAGATGGAATTTCAGTCTTTTTTCCCATTGCCCTCGTTCTTCTGTGGAGCCTTTTTCACAGCCTCTGGATGAGATCAGGCAGGAATCGTTGATGATCAAGTCACCTGGTGCAAAGTGACGCGTCGCGAAAACTCCGACACCCTTATTGGGTGTCGAACGAACATCGAACCCGACTTTATCATTCCTTTCCATCTGGGAAACAAGCGAAAACACAATCGGCAAAAGAAATCAGCAGAGCCTGAGACTACGTTTTTAGAGAGTACATATATATTTTTCAGAAACCAATGAAAAAAGGACCGAATCGCCACACATTTTCCTATAATATGTGCACCGATCTAAATAGTGTATACTGTATCATTGATTATGAGTTCTTCAGAAAAAATCCTTCCACAAAATTATTATGCATTACAGTACAATGCATGATATCTGAAGCTTTTGCTAATTTTGTTCGTTCCTGTTTGGTTTGTTGATGATCACAGAGAGAAAACAGGAAAATACAGTCAACCCTCAATTTAGTGTCAGCTGCAGTGCCACAAGTTTCCCCAGAACAAATCTTCCTCAATGGTGTTATTATTTTAGTAAGTTTCTGGATTACATTTTCATTTATGAATAATAATTTCATGTATGAATGACACCGACTTTGTAAGGAATTTCTGGGCTTTTAATACAGTATAGTTTTTAAATTGGACGGATGCAGACGACGCTGAAATTTAATGTGCTCATACGAGTACAGGAACGTCGCGACTTAATTAATTCTTGAATGATTGCAGTGATATTGAGAGAAAACTCAGTAAATCGATTTCAATCGCAAAGATTATATATTCTAATTTTTAAACCTGTGGCCAAGGTGCATTCACCCTATGTTTCCCATGCTCAAAAATATTTGGTTGCGCTTCAAACCGATTCTTTCGAAGTAAATTCATCAATTTCAAACATTCTCGCCTTGTGTATTCTGAAAAATGCTTCAAAAATCCCATTTATATTGCCGAAGATTGTACGATTTATTAAAGAGTTGGAAAGCAGTTTCGTAGCCTGATGACCTAATTCATGCGTCAATTTTCTCAAAATCATTTACGATCTTCATTTGAAATTTCAAACTTCATTCTTTCCAGCGCTTCGGTTCTTATTTGAATTCGTTCGTCTTTTATCATCAATCAGTTCCCGTGTCCTTGAGGATCCCAAAATTCAGTCATGAACTTTCAACCAACGATTTTCCAAAACTCAAGGCATAAATGTTGACGTTTGTTGCGTCGGAAAAAGTTATGTTCCGCCGCATCAAATTTCCGAAAATACAATTACTGTACCGTCATATTATGTGAGGGCCCACTGCACATTATTAGACGACTCAGGAGCTCGCTGATCACGTTTTTAAAATGCAAGAATTTAAAATTTTTCTAATTTTTTAAAATCCCAGGAAAATTATAAACCTGAATAACATTTTGAAGTGGAAATCGACCACTCCATTTTTCAAGGAAAAGTTTATTTAAAATATTCCTGTTCAGTGCTTTTCTGTGATGATTTTGAAAATTAGCTGTGAGAGATTAGCCTGATCAAATCGAGTAGTTTACTGAATATCTTGCTTCTTTTAAAATCGAGTTTTAAATCGGTCAAAGTACTTTTTCTTCTAGTCTTTCATCCGATAAATCATGTTTTCTAAACACGGTGTCTCAGCACAGAAGGGCAACCCGGACGTCTCTGAATTGTCTGGAGAAACTTTTTCAAGCGCAGTACTGTCTGTCAGAAGACCACTGGGGTTCGCGGGAAACGTGTTCGCACCTGGGTACCACAAAAACCTCGACCAAGCAGAGGAAAGTCCGTGTTCGCGGGTGATGCTCTTCAGGGAGCAAAGAGCAAAGTAGAAAAGAAGGGGGGCGCCGAAAAGAAGTTGAATGGATCATTGAAAAAGAAGAGAAAAATGTTGGCGACCACCGACTGCTGTCAGTTGAGACTTTTGCCGAATTGGATTGAGGAGAAAAAATATGCCCTGGCGTCTTTCCAAACACATTCATTTCTCGCTTCCAGGTAGGCGCCGCGCCAGGAGATACTTCTCGGCTGGTTCTGTGTTGGTTCTATCATCTGGGTGCTGGGTTAAGTGAGCATCAGGTACAACTCAGAGCCACACAACTGCATGAGTGTCAGCTGAATGAGCTGAATCTTCCACTGGATTGAAGATTTGTGTCAGCCTGAATCAAATGAGAGGAATAGTGCAAATGCAGTGGAGGGCCTCAAAATTTAGACACATTTGGTGCTTGGACCTTGTCCCTCTTTTGAAATGTTCCTGTAGACTCGAATGGAAACATGTTCTTTAACCCTTGGAAAGCAGAGGGTTCCTGGCTGTGCTGTGGTAAAGTTGGGATTTTTTTGAGGGAGAAGAGGCATTTCAGTTTCACCAAAGGTCACTGAAATGCCCACAAGTTGCCAGAGCCTAAGTTGGGAAAAATCTGGGTGCAGAAAATCCAATTGCCTCAAAAAATCCCCAAAGTTCATTTTATGCTGGGAATGCATAAAAAATGCCACCCAGTGATGAAAGTTTTTTAGGAAAACATTCCTGCAGGATTATAACAAAAATATCATGTTTTTTCCTGACTTAGGCCTTGCATGTTTCAAAAATCAGATTTTTAAAATTTAGCAAAGCTCATGGGGACTAAATTTTGCACAAATATCACAACTTTGCCACACAAGGGTAAATGGTTCTCCTCTTGATCAAAAATGATGAATAAAAACCCTCCATAACTAGAATAATTTTCTCTATGCTTCAAAACACAGTGGCACCCTGAGATGCTGACCAAATTGCTGCTATGGCCTTGTCCCTATGTGAGATCATCCCCATGTTGGACCTCATTTTCTCATAGACTTCAATGGGGATATTTTTGATTGGTTCTCCTGTGGATCAATAATTAAGGATAAGTCTACCCAAAAATTGAACATGTAGGCAGAAGGGGCCCTTCTATGGCTGGGAAGTTAAGGTGAGGCCCCTCTGCCATCAAGGGGCATTTACTTAATGATTCTCAACTTTGCATATCCAGACAAACAATCAATGATAACCACTTATTGATAACCCTGAATAAAGCACATATATTAGCAAACATCCACACCGGTGTAGGAGTCGGGAGCGTCTGGGTAGGCAGGAGCGTCCTGCCGGACACTCTCACCTAGTTGGAAGCGTCCGACCCCCGGTCCGGAGTGTCCGGCCCCCAGGCGGGAGCGTCCTGCCGCCAGTCGGGAGCGTCCGGGATTGAAAATCCAATATTATGAAGGTTTTACAAATGAAATAGTACAGAGCTACATTGACAGTGGTTGAAAGCATGTTAAATGATGAAAGTTATTGAAAATCTTGAAGGTTTTACCTGCAAGAAATTTTTAATAAAATTTTTCATTCAAAATTCTTTAGTAATAATCTTCCTACGAATAATAACTTTTAAATCAACTTAATCATTATAAATGGCTGCAAAACAATATGAAGAAATGTGTAAGAAGATCATTGTCTATTTGGAAGAAGGAAGGTGTGATGAGGAAGTGCAGAGCAATAATGAGAAGAGGGTGCTCCAGTGTACAGCAGCTTCTTATGTGATGCTGAACAACCAGTTGAATTTCAAGTGATGATTTTTTTATTTTTCAAATATCATTAGAATAGTAATTCCATTAAATGAAGCCAAAAAGTGTACTTTCATTCACAAAGAACATAATAAAATTTGTTCATAAAATTCCCTCCAATGGCTTTATTGT